AAATTATTTATAAATCTTAGATTAATTTTCTAATATAATTTTTTTAAATATTAGTTTATTTATATATTCGATATAATAGTATCCCCTGAAGAATTACTATCTGAATTCCATAGATTCACCGATTTACAATTAAATTCACGCCAAACTTTTTATTATACTTTAATGTACACATTATTTAAATAGCTAACTTCGGGGATACTTCCGTAAATGTAGTTTCTAGATAAAAATAATTACTATTTTATCTGCATATATTTGTCCCTTAAGTACTTCCTTGAGGTCCGTATTTGTCTAATTACTCATTTGAGTCCACTTATTTCAATGAAGCTTTTATCAAAATTACTTAGCACTGTATACGTGAAATGCATTATCTTCTATTTACTCAGTATATTTTATGAACTATATTATTAATGTTACGCATACTAAGTTGGCAAGTATTAATTAGCTTAACGTAACACTATTAATTTCAGGCCCCATGACTCCCACTTATCAAAAGGTCAACTTGGAGCCCCACCCAGTTAACTTATCCAGCAACTCAACTAAGGCAATGCCCTATTTTCCAAGTTCTGAGCTGCGTGGATTTACTTTGGGAGGTCATGGTACTTGCGCTGGTACCTCAATTCCCATCGGCCGTCACACCTTCGGGCCATCGGTCTCAGGTATGGCTCCTCGTGTTTCTGCTCTTGAATGTCTCTTTTCGGATGCCCATCGGGCGCTAACGACACCTGCTTCCTCACCCATAGCACTGACGGGCCTGGCATCTGTATCTGAGGCGTCTATTAGTGAAGCTATTACTTCTAAACCTCACGCTTTTACAGACTCTTCCAGTCATAATCAAAGCAAAATTCTAAGATCAGGCGCTCCCACCACATGCACATCTGGTATGCAATCTTATCCTCGACAGCACCTTCCAACTCTAAGCACTGTTAGTGCCATCACTGATGTCATGTCATCTACATCGACAATGAATGCTACAGGAACTGTTGCCTACAGCATGGCTAATAGTCGATGCACAAAACCACTGAAATACACTGGCTCTTCTAGTGATTCGTCTACTTACATACAACCAGCCAAGTCACCCGGTCATTTCCAACTATCTCCTAATGTCAATTCGGCTTCACCTGCTGCATTCCATTCACGTCTCTCCTCCTCTTTGCAGCCCCAAGCTGAGAATGTGATTAATGCAGTTAGTACTTCGAATTCATTGCAACCTATACTAATGCCCTCATCGCAGGCGCCTCAAATACATTCGAGGCTACAAAACCAAGCCTCGCAAAGTACTCAACCCGAAAAAAAAGTAGCTCCAGATTTTTCTTCTTCAGATTTCCTCTCCGCTAGCCTGCTTAGTTCCCCACGCTGCGGTTACGATTACCTTGGAAATCCTCAGGCTGGCACTCGTCTGGCTCATTTGCCTGCGCCCTTGGCCTCGGGTATAGGAACTCTACCTCGAACTCATCATCATTATCAACATAGTCCTAAACAGCAGCAATCGCAAGGTTTGGGCTACTCAATTACCGACCGGCGTCTCTATGAACCCCATTCCGATGCTTTCAGACCCCGGTTGTCCTCACAACTTGAGGCTCCTATTCGAGGGCAGCAGATGCCTACAGCGGCTGGT